TCCTATTTTGAGATCAAAACGAGCCTCTTTCATTACATTAGTGACAAATGAAACACAATGTACCAAGGTTTCCCTAGATTTAGCTGTTCCTAGATCTTTTCCCTCTTAGTAGTGTGAAATTTAAAACCTAAGACACTCTCTTCCGAGTGCCACGTATCTGTTGTTTCTACTTATCAGAAGTTACTCGCCTCAATAAGACATTACAGGCAAGGTGAGTGTGGTTGTGCGCATGCACGCACGTGTGCAGTGGAAAAGAGGGCAGGAGAAGGGGTGGCTTAATCAACTAATTAATCATCCAGTCCTGCTGGCACAAAAATCAAACTCTTCCCTTTAGCAGTACAAGGTATTCTGTCCTTTGGGTAGTGAGGGGAGCCAGTCAGCATGAGACACAAAAGTTTTGAGGTTAAATTTGGAGATAGTTATAACTTTGTTTCAAAAGGAAGAATAAAACGTATCAGGATAAATCTTAACGTCAAGTACACTCATGCGAAATGGCAACCATTTAATGGCGACAGTGCTTTATTTAGCACTGAAGGTCATAACAAGAACTGAGGCCAAAAGCTGAAGGCAGACAAATTCTAACCTGAAACACAGAACAAGTATTTAGCAGCAAGGTAGCTAAAACTTGAAAACACTGTCAAGGCAAACCAGGAACTCACATTTCTTGATGTCTCCAAATAAAAGTGAATGCCTTCCTAGAAGACATGATTCAGTGTAATGTAAGTTATCAGGTACCTGAAGGAAACATGTATGATATATGGGAGGTCAGTTTGGATGAACTGCTGATTCCACCCGTCTTTAAACCCTATGAAACTGAAAATAAATCATTACTCAAAAGCAAGTCCTAGCTCACTAGTATTATTTGCATTATGTTTTCAGTCCTTCTGAGCTCTTTCAGTGAAGAGCAACGTTAATCACTTGGTTAAAGCATTCAGCGAAAAGTCCCAATAGACTCTCCTGTTGGCAACCAGCCACCATGTTCCCTGTCTTCTTTTGCAGCACCATGCTCTTGGTAACAGAGGGCATTTACTTAGGTGAGATGGAATGACTTACTTCCAGAGACAGCTGAGATACCAGTTGCTAATAGCTAGGCTCAGTTGCTAGCTTGTATTTATGCCTCAGAATGCTGCTGCTTCTAAAGCTAGACTCAGACGATCGTCCACAGAATACAGCTTAACACTGACATCAGCTTATTCAGCCTATCTTCTTTCTGGAGATGTATGTGCATGGCTAAGTGGCATCTTCTAGTTCAGCTGACCTAACCCAGTATGTGCTACATTCAGCTTCAATGAAACTACAACTAGGCAAGAACAGCCCAGAATCTGTCTGACTGATACACCAGGAACAGAATTACCAGCTAATAATTTCCAATCCAAAACAGAAATTATATCATTGCCAATGAGAAAAATCATCTTGTGACTTGCACCCTTAATCAAGTAGGTCTGGAGTTTTTTTACTGTTATTCTTTTTGACAGTATCACTTTATTCACTTTAGCTAGTATATTGAATTAGGGAAGCAACAGCAAGTCCTTAAACAGAATACACAAGCAGGCAGTAAAACTTCCAATATTTTGCGGTGCTTAGATCCAGGCTTCTGCCTCTCGTTAAAGATCTCTACAAAACAGAGATCTGCTGTCAGACTGGATTTTGCAATCACAATTTAGGTTCATCACAGAGTCACATTGTACAGCATGGCAGTACATTACATGACATTGTATTGCAATGTAAAGGCAACTGAGGCTTTTTTTGGGTTTGCACTCCACCCCCTCCACAGCACAGAGCATACTGAAGCAGTGAGAAGAGGAGACTGAAGGCTGACTTTCCTTGCTAAATCTCTGACTGGCCAATCTTGCTTTCCAATCATCAAATTTCATTTCTCTAGTCTGCAAGTGGAAATAAAAGAATGAGTGAATAACTGGATTCTTTTCATCCCTGAACACTTCAAGTTTATAAAAGCAAAGAAGTTTTTTCCCAGGCACCCTTGGGCAGCCTGGCGCTCTCCTCTGACAATATAAGAGAAGCAGTTCTGCCTTCACTAGGGTCTCCTCCAAACGCTTCTGTGCTTGCACTGAGGCCATGAGATGCAAAGATACCAGGGAAACAGAGCAGTGATTTACATTGACAAAGAGGATTTTGATACACTCCTCCAAATGGGGCAGCATTACCATCTTAATAGCCTTTTGCTCTCAGCCCTCTTCCTGAAGACGCTGGAGATTTTTGCGAATGGAGAACAGTTCCGCTTCCCATTTTAACTGCAACAATAGCAGCAGGGCTCCTTAAACTGCACCAAATAGCAGCCTGTGAAATCCCTAACTAGCTGCACTGCCTCTCCTGCCGTTTTATTATCCTCTGGCCCACAGAACAAAAGCAGGGCGGGAGCTCCTCCTCATTTTTAGCCTATTCCACACATCCTAATCCCTCAGAGGTGGCAATGGAAATTGCTTGTGGAACTGTTAAATCACACTTTCACTTTGTCTTTCATTCCCCATTCACCCTCGCTAATCAAGGAGTTTCCAGCCACATTTTCCGATATCAATTTGTTTATGGCCTATTGGTTAATGGTCCCGGGATGGGACCCCCTGAGTAAGAAGAAAGAATCCTGGGCATTTCAGCCAGCTGCTGCTTCTTGCCAGTTCCCACACCCATCCACTTGTTCCCATCAGCCGCCCTGAATGTGCTCGCCTCCTGACACCAACTGAACTAAACAACAAAGCCTGAATGGGAAAGCTGCCTTTGCAATCAGGCTGCAGGACAGATTCCACTTGTTAGGGCTATATGATGTCCCTCAAGCAGCAATGCAGGGACACTCCCTCACCGGCTAACCCGTGGCCAGTTGCCTTACTGACATCTTACCTTATGTCCAGCTTCCCTTTGGAAAGAAGCACCAGCTACAACTCTCATAAAAACTCTAGCCTCTCTTGCACGAGGCAGCCTGGTACCACTTTCTGCATCTTTTCCAAAACAGCCATTTCCAGGTGATTTGCTCACTTCCTCTTTCCATAGAAATAATGATCATTGAAATGTGGGATGAGAACATGCAATATTTACTTTGTACAACTCAGTGAGATGGCTCGCGTGTAAGTGCTTACAAGTCTCTGTAAAATAGTCTGGGGCACATTATCACGGGAGCCATGCCCTTGGTTACTACCCATCTTGGAGAAAAGTATCTAAAATGTAAACATAACAGTATAGGTAGAAAGTAAGAAAAGGCTCACACAAAGAAGAGCTTCAAGCTGCCTTCCAAAATGTACAAAGAATGTCTGATGTCGAGACAGCATTTACTTAGAGAAATCCAGACTGGTATCTTACCTGTTTTTAGAAAAGTGGTGAATGATGTTTTAAACGTGCACCCCAGAAACATATGGATACATGGAAAAAAGCAATTGCCATACACCTAATACAGTGTTATCCTTCTATCAGAGAGTCCTGCTCCCTCATCATTACATGTTACCAGGCCCATTTGTTCTTTAAAGGTAGGGTTCAGTCCTTGGAAAGCTATATTCCTGGCTCACAGAAAAGAACTGAAACAAATAAAGAACCTCTCTGAACAAATGCTTGCCGTTTCTGAAATGGAAAATCTTTCTTTCCCAAAGTTTCACTACATTAGTGCCCGAGGACAGAGCAGGAAATTGTCTGCCTTTTTTTATAATGACCAGAAGCATCTCTGCAACTTACAAGATATTCAAGATAGAAAAGTACCTTGTCTTCTGCCCTATACTGAATCAAAACATGTCTAGACCAACTCTTGCAAGCCATTTCAGTTTAAACTAATAATTTTTTTTCTCTTGTTCCTGTAGCCTTTTTAAAATTACTGGTACCAAATAAAGCAGATCAAATTCCCAAAATGCCATCTAAGAATACACTGAATATAGTATCCAAAGGCTTAGGAAACACTGGATGGACCCCCACATTATCATTATGTAGGTTTATTAAATGGAAGCAAAAATGTACCATAAAACATTTTTCTTTCTTTTGTTTTCCTACATTATATATCACCAGAAATGTAAGCTTATTTAGTCATTCGTAAATGTAAATATGTCGTTGGTCTGGTACAGCCTGTTTAAAGGTGAGAAATGGACAATGACAAGGAAGAGAACTGTTCACATACCTTAAAATGTTCATAGTGCTTTATGGGATCAGTGATTCTCAATCACTGGAACCTGAGAAACAGTGATACTTACTTTCGTTAATGCCATGGCTGCATACCAGAGTGTATCCTCTGAACAAAAAGTAGCAGGCACTGACTAGTTTTATTTACTCTGCTAAACTGATACAGCAATCAGGAGCCAGGCTGCATATCAACAGACAGCAACTCAACAAAATTGATCTATGAATGTCTGTCAAAAAATAAGGACATTAAAGGAACATTTATTGCGATAAATGGGGAAAGAAGGGAAGAGCTGAACTTCTCTTTTAGCTGTGGTCTGAAAGTATGTGATTTAGGACATGGCCACAAGGAACAGTAGTTCCCTGCCATCATGGTAGTAATATCCAGCTTTTCAGTACAGTACCTCATATCCTAGAGAATCTGAGGATTATTTAAGACCATGGGGCATTAGCATTAAAATGATCACAAAAATAGAGAACAGATATTAATTTCCTGTATTTTTATTGATGTCAAGCCATTTGCTAAAGAAGAACCATTTATTAGAGCATGTTATTAATGATAGATGGGTATGTTTCTCCTGGAGAAACCTATCCCATAGGAGCACTGTCGCCAGAACCATTCTACTTTACCTTGAAGGAGAACAGGGAGCCTTGATTAATAATTACAAGGCACATTCTTAGATCCATGGGAATATGCAACAACTAATTTAGTATAATCCAAGACAAAACAGTGAACGCAGCAGAAGGCTGCCCTTGTCAACCAGACTGTTTAAATGTGTGCGGTTTTAATTAGGTACAAACAGCACCATTTTCAACAATAATTGCTGTTATCTACATTCAGCCTGCTTAAAATACTAACTGCAAAGGCAAAACAATCAATGCTCTGGTCTTACCTTGAAGAACCAAGCCTGATTTCTCAATGGTGTAGAAAAAAGCGGAGAATGGAGCAACAGGGGATTTAGCAACCAGGAGCTGCAAAACAAACAAGTAATATGTAAGTACACATCTTTATAACATACTGATCAGAGCTCAAATCCATAGAATAATCTCACTGGATTTAACTTCCAAAAGTAGTAAAGCATACTGCAGAAATAATTAGGTAGTTATTGATCTAGCCCTGTCACTTCTAAGCAGTTGAGGTCTTCTCATACACATGTATAAATCATGCTGCAATTTTAAAAGGATTCACAGGTCCTAAAAAACCACCGTCATGAAAGCAGCAAGTTTTGCTTGATGGGACACAATTTTCAGCAAAACTCCAACTGCCGCTGCATAATGCAATTTTAATCACCATTAGCTGTTCCACAGATGCGCCCTCTTGGCTTCTCCAAGAACTCCACCCGCCATCTTCCTCCTGCCCCTGGAAGCAGCATGGTCCACCCATGGGTCACCACTCCGGGCATGGTAACATGCCATCGCAATTATCTGGATGCCCTCTTTTGCAAAAGGGGTAATGACCGAGTCAAGCTTTATTCAAGGATCCTGTCCTTGGAGTTTCAAAATAGGAACTGGAATTCCCTCGGGGTATATAGTGCAATTGAATTTAGCTCGGCATTTGGGTGTGCTGGCCCTCCATGGCCAGGCCAGAAATATCCCAAGCTCTCTGGCTCCACTACGGGGGAACCGTCCTCCGTGGAAGATGAGCTGCAGCAGAGTTCTGGAGACAAAGAAATGGGCTTGTTGGCAGGGCAGGGGACGTGGGACCCGCAGTGGTAAACTCACACAAATGTGCCAGGCTTTATTGCTTGGCTGTTTGATTTTTGCTCATTGCCGAGGACTGCTCCCTCAGAGCTTGCCTCAAAATAACCCCTATTCTGTCACCTACATGAAAGTGACATTTTAATGATAAATTTAATAAGTTCTGCCCAGAGGGTGATCAGCACAAACACTGATCTAATGGTCCCCATGTGGGCCCTGCAGAAGACACTGACAGCAGTGGCTGAAGCGGAGAGCGTGCTGCTGCTCTGCTTCTGGCACAGAGCTGCTGAACAAAGCTGAAACACCTTTCTCTGCTCACCTCTTCAACAGCTAGAAAAGGCCGGGAACTGGAAACCAGCCCTCCCGGCGGTGGCCCTGCACCCTGGAAGAGCCTTCCCACCTTCCTGGCCCCTGAGGGCATGGTTTGGGCAGGCGGCTCCCCCTCAGCCCACGCTGATCCTCTGCAGGGATCTGCTCCAAGCAGGGCAATATGGCAGAGCCTGAGCTGTGACTGCTCAGGACACAGAGCAGGCCTGCCGACTTCCTTTCCTTCAATGCACTGATTTCCTCTAACCCGTCTGTGAGGCCTGCCTAGCAGTGTGCTGTGGAACCAGCGTGCACCTTGGTGCCTAATTTTCCAAAGCCCCGTCAGATACTATATCCTCTCAGCCCAAGATAGGCAGCCCTCTGTCAGATAACATCCAAATACAGATTTCTTAGAACTACAGACAGTAACAATCTTACTTTTAGAGGTGTGGGGCACCAACAGATCCTGCTGATTTCAAATGGAGTAAAAACCCACCCATTATTTCCAAAGGTCATGCCCTAATTCTGCCTAGCATTCAAGCACTTGTAAGGGTCACTGCATATGAATTTCGGTTGACGGTGCCTAACGATCAGCAGAGAAACAGTGAGCAAGTTTTATAAAAGCCAAGAGAGACTACAGAAAAACGAGGAAGTTCATGCTCACCAAAACTGCTCACATTTCACTGAAAAGTCAGACAGTACTGAATCACTTCATGGATATCCAGGACTGGGACATTTATTCCTAAGTGCAAGATTAACAATATCAAGCACCAGAAGTTTGAGCTCTGTGGTGTCCTTATGAAACCAGAGGATTTGCCAGCACATTCTGCTGCAGAATCAAGGCTCGTGTGACTTTCCTGTAGCACTCTAGATGCTGAGGGTGTCTGTAGAGTAGGTAGGTTTCATTTGTATTTGTATGTAGTCTGCAGACAGGACCATGCTTAGATGTCTTGCAACTCTTTCTCATCTGATTCTGACACAGGCTGAAGAAACAAAATCCTCATATCTGGTTCTTCAAACATAACCATTATTACCCACAGCTAGCTAACATTTTTATGGTTTTCAGAATTTAAATCAAACATAGTCTCCCTTCTTCTTCAGACAGTAAAAAATAAAGGCAGGCACATAAAGACCACAAATACAGGCAGAGAACACCAGAACAACCCGAATGTCAATGTTTTCCTTTCAGTCATATGAAGCAGGCAAAACCACCTCAGGATGCGATACAACCTTTGTGAACTACTCCAGATAGGAAAACTGCTGTGCTAGCACTTCCCCCTCTTCCATGTTAATTACTGTTCTCTCTGGAATGAACTTCTGGAGAAAGGAGGGGCACGTCACATCCCACGTCGGTGACGCACCTTGACAAAACCCGGATTCCCTTGCCCGTCGTTATCCCCAGAGCCAGCACTTCCCACTGATGCGGCAGGAGGGGGAATCTGCCAGGAGGAAAGCAGAGTGCCTCCCGGTGCTTTGCACGCTCCCTCAGCTCTGAGAACATGAGGGAGAGGATGGGGTGGAAAAACTGTGCAAACGCTCAGCTACAGAGTCTCCCACAACAGCTGAAGGTTTAATCAGAAAGGCCCGAAGTGAAACAGTTACAAATCTGATGTCTAAGGTCAAATTTTTGGCATTCTGTGCACATAAATACTAACCTATATATGCATGTGCACTCGGCACAGTTGTACGTGCAAATGGATAGACATTCAAATAACCCTATGTACATTCTGTTACTGCATTTTTATGCAGTTACAATACGTGTATAACTAAGTATAGCAATGAAAAAATATAATAAATCACATCCTTTCAGCAGCACATCACAGGGCCCCTCTGAAAGGCTGCTGCTGCACAGTTAATTCTGAGGCTCAGAATTAGCTTCCTTTTTAGTGAAACGGGAACAGCTCATAATAGTCAAAGGTACTGCTTTATTTTGAATGTTTGCTTACAGAGAAAAACAACCTTTAAAGTATGATTGCATATTTCACAACCAGATAGAGTACACAGAATTCTCTTTTATAACACCAAGCTCTACATTAATTGAAAAAAAGTAAATATGTATTTAGATTTGTGTTTCAACCAAAGAGAAAAAAATGTAAATGTCACCGCAAACCATCCTCTGGATGGAATAGCCAACACAGAGTAGGTTCTTATGCATACACAAGGACCTTAGAAAACACAGAAGGAAATACAGATCAAGAAAAGAAAATGATGTTTTGGAGGCCAAGAAGTGGAAGTATAAACCAAGGATTACCAAAATCAAGGAATCAAAGATGAAATCCAGGCCTCATCAGAAGTTTTTCCCTATTGACACTTCAGTGCAGTCAAAGTTGCACCGAAAGGAGCAAACATTTTGAGATGAGTAAACAGTAATGGTAAATAATAGTTTAAAGAAGTTAACAGGCATTCAGATTACAAAAATGATTTTTTAAATGGTGAAATGAATAGAAAATAGACATAGAAAAATGATGAAACGGTACTGAGTCTTTCTAATTCATCCTATCCATGATGCTTCTGGAATGCTAACCGTGAGCTATCCATGAGCTTCTGGAATGGAATATAAAATCCAGATGCAGTTATTCTTACGCTGCTGTCTTACTAAAGTGTGAATGATAGAGATGGATGAGAGAAGTAAAAACCAAAGCTATTTTAAGTTTTGCAGTGTCCTAACTTTACAAAATGGTCAAATCTTAGTTTCCCTTCTTTCCTTTCTAGCATCACATTTCCCTGTCAGGAGGTTTGTAATAATTATTTATTATTTGACAACAATGTAGAATAAACATTAAACAACTGAAAAATTATTTCTGCCATGAGGCACGTTAAGAACACAAAGGTACTACGGAAGAGGAAATATATCACCTTGATGAAAAGTGAATTGAAACCGGATAGATGCCATTGGATTAGATAAAGGAAGATAAATGGGAGGCAGGCAGAGCAGTTGAGAAACAAAAGGCTTAGAGAGAATTGATGATGGCAGCAGAAAAATTGTACATTAAAGTTTGTTTTTTAATTAGGGAAAGCGTTTTTATTAATACAGTTTATTGTTTATAAGCTTTATGGAAGAGATGAATCACAGAAATTGATTGCAGAAGCCCAGCAGAAAATACTAATTATTGGGACAACATCCCCTGTCAATAGCAAAGAAAGTGATGAATAGGAAAATGTATTGGATGGACTTTCAGAAGTAGTCTGATAACCAGAAATCAAGCCAGTGTCCTGCCAAAAAAAAGTAAAGAAGATGAAGGAGACAGAGTCTTATATCAAATTAGTTATCAAAATGCCAGGATGATAAACTACCAAGTGCTGAAATAAGATGATGATTTTGACTGAGCTATGAGCTCTTACATGGTAAAAAAAAATACTATTTCATAATAGAAAACTAATTATTTTAACAAAAGTAATGGACTAAGATATTTCAATGAAATATTTGAGAAAATCAGCTGTATTAACATTTAATACATAATTTCTGTTTATACTGGAAAGACATCCAGTTTCTTCCCCATTTTTTTACTGAGACTATTACAAGAAATTGGTTCATAGCAATGACTGAGGAACACGAGTGAAACCATTTGAAGCTTCTTTTAAAGTATGTCAGCTGCTTCTTATCAGTGAACATTCTTCTCTCTTTATTTTGTTCTGTGTTAATTTTTTCCTTAGATTTCCTTTTCTGCTAGATTTACCTTATCTCATCTTTTGTACTGACAAAATAGGTATACGTGCACTAAGGACCAAATGAGTAACAAAACCACATTTACAGCCAATACATATTTTGGAATTCAGATCTAGTGAGGAATTACAAAATACGTGAAATCTGTGAAAGGAGTCTGGCTCTCACTATGCTTGCTGCCCTTCCTGAAACAATGCTGGCTTGCTGGGATTTTTTGCTAATTTGTATTGTTGTCCTATTGTGGTAAATAATCGTTGCTAATAGTTGGTGCATTTCAGGAGAACTC